GGAGAGTGAGTTGAAGTCTCTAGCACTTGTTGTGTGTTGGGATTTACAAAGGCTAAGTGACTAAGCGACTTTTCTCTTTGCAAAGTTGATTCTTTAATCAACAATAAATATTGCAGTTTTAGGAAAGTAGGAAAAAGAGATTGTTGTGGAATAGTTCTCTTAGCAACACTATATTCAGCATCAAGTCCTGTAACAGCTTGAAAAACTATGTCTTGATCTGTCAAAATTTCACCAACACCATGCATATTATCTGCTGCTTTCTTAACAACTGCAAGTAGTTTAACATGGACTGTCCAGACTTTTTATTTTTTTTGGATAAAATGTGAATCTTATTATCCAATATAACTATCTGTACCATAAAGCAGCTAATAAGTTGGTATAAAGCGGTGTAGGAGATCCATTTCTTCAATGATATGCCGGATGAGATCCATTTCTTCAATGATATGCCGGATGATTTAGTCATTTCTATTCTCTCCGAGATCAGCTCCTCCGCTGGTTGTCCTGCAGATTTCATGAACGTTTTGATGACGTACGTGGCTTATTCATTGTATACCAATTTTAATTCTGTTCTGGTTCTGATTTAGAATAAATTTTGAATCTTATTTTTAAAATTTTTGTACCAGATGCCAGACATTAAAGAGATTGGCGGTTGATCCTTTTGTGTTATCCAAAGCCTCCTCGAAAATGTTCCGCACTAAAGTAGACAAATGGTCGGAGTCTGCTTGCCGGTTTATGACACTCTGCGCCGATGCTGGAAATGCTGAAGCTCGTAGCGCTTGCTTCTTCCTGGTGAGTTATTATATTTTTGTTACCCCAAATGGATTTTTTTTCTCTCTGAATCTCATCAGTAACTCTTATAGGATGTTATCATGTTTAGTTGAATTTAGTGATAGTTTTTCTTTGTAATTAAAGATCTCTGTTTGAATTATACATTTGTAGAGTGAATTCATTGGTCTTACGAAATAGCAAGAACTGTTTGTGGAATTTTGTGAGGATGAGAGAAAATTACTGAGAAGTACAAAGCCTTTTGTTTAAAGGTGTAATGATCTTTCTTATGAGTTTGTTAACCAAAACTTTTCTTTATGCACTGGTAATTCTATATATAAAAAATGCAGTTGACAGGGTTGAACAATACATTTTTACTTTCTTTTCCCTTGATCATATTTTATCCAACCATCTTTTCTTTTTGGTAGTATTTAATACATTGATTAGTCTATCCATACCATGGAATTATCGTTTTAACTTTTTTTTTTTTTTTTTATTAACTTGCAGGAAGTGTTTGCGTAAGTTCGGATGAGGACCTGTTTGTATAACTTCGGACGAATACTCTTTACATTTCTTGATTTATCATTTATGGAACCATCGCAGCACGATCGGAGTG